GTGTGTGTGTGTGTGTGTGTGTGTGTGTGTGTGTGTGCGTGTGTGTGTGTGTGTGTGTGTTAGTGTGCAAACAGAAAAAAAGGGCATGTGTGCTGCTGCTGTCACCAATTTGCCCGGGCTTCCAGATGGGAGTAGGAGCAAGGTGACGGAGCTGTGGCTTGATAAACACAGAAGCCCTGCTTCGATTTCCCATCCAGTCCACTTTGGAAAGACATGGCTCTTCTTGGGCGCTCTTGGTCCAGGGAAAATGGGGGGATGGGGAGCAAAGGAGGAACACAGTGATGGGCATGCAGTTTGGAAGAAGTAATACTGCAGATAAGGGGGAAAAAGTTGTAAAATTGGAAATAAATAAAATTGTGCATATTACCAATTTTTTAAGCATCTAAACAAAACAGACCTCTATGCCACAACCATCTTTTACCTTCATCCCTTGCTCAGTGTTCCACTCTGACATTCTCCTGTTTTCCCAAAGAAACGTGCTATGTTCCGCTTTTCAAGTGATTTCAGAAATTTAAAGACCATCTCCAGCTGTAGTAGATGAGGAATGCTCCCTCTGCCCCCCTAGAGAGTTAAGGAGATCGCATTTGAACCCGTCCTCCCCCCACCCCCCAACACGCTTCACCTCTTTTCCGTGCCTCAACACCAACATAAGAGGACAAATGTGGGCTCTAAGCACCGGTGATCAAACACGAGCGGCTGCTGGGTACGCCAGGCTCAGGACTGTTGGCCTAATAGGATTGGAAGCCCCCAGGTGAGCCAAAGGACACCTCCAATCAGCGTGATTAGCCCCAGGCTGAGCCACGTTTCAACGTATAGCACTGACTGATGTACAGCGCTAAAAGGATCACCTTGGTTGTGAAGAATGTCAGCGATGCAGAGTGTAGCGTCATGGTTGAATGTGCGTGTCAGAGTTTTGTGACGGATTTTAGGAGTGCATGCAGTTTTAAGGTGTCAAAATGATCTTGTGATTTTTTGACTGTTTGCTAATCATTACTAAGTTCACAGAAGCGTATAATGTGTGGAGCTGCAGAATAATCTCAGGTTGTAAAAACAGTGTATGCTCACCACACTAGTATGCACATAGCTTTGATGCATGACTACACATGCATAAGTACAAATAAATGTGATTTTATATGCTCAAGTGGTAAAAACCTCCTTACAGCAACTTGCAGATACACACTCGCATACAAATGTATATACAGTATATTTTGCACACAGAATAAGCAGAAAAAAGATTACTCATCAGACAACTCCACCTCAAAAAAAAAAAAAAAAAAAAAAAAAAGAAAAAAAAAAATAACAATTACCAGATCCTGGGCTCATCACTGACTAAGCAAAAGTCATTCAGCGTGTAAAACACACAATATAATTAGCACACATCAAGCTGCTGAGTCCTACTGTGCATTAATGATGCTTCCCTCTGAAGTGAATTATGGTTTGATAAGTGAGGAAGTGAATGAGGAGGGGCTTCCAGGAGGAACGAGACATCATTTAAAGAAGAAAATGAAAATATAACACGGAAATAAAAAACAAATAGCAGTGAAAACTGGCTTAACTCGTTTGACTTGTTCTGACCCAAAAGCAATTATTCATATATATATATAT